GAGATCTTCCGAGGTGTCTTTCTCTTGCAGGTGCCCTCCAGGCACCTGTGGGATGGCGGGAAGACGCCTGAGCCTGCTCAGGTCCTTTTGGATGAAGAAGGAAGGCCCTGGGACTGCCCCAGCACAACATCCTGAAGAGATGGAGCAGTCCCAGCCCACGCAGGAGGGTGAGTGGCAGAGCTGACCCACAGGGCTGGTGGCTGCAGCCAGATGGACCTCTTCCGATCCCATCCCCCGTGGACATGGCCAGGGAAAGGGAGGGGGGAAGGAGGGCCCGGGGCTGATCCCCCGGCAGCTCCATGCCCTGGGCATCCCGGGGCTGGCCCTGCCTGTGGAGCGCAGGGCTGGGCCGTGTTCTCCGGCCTGTCCTGCAGCCCCTCAGCTCTGACCGCGCTCGCTCTTTGCCAGATCCAGGACGGGACCGGACACAACAACAGGACCGTGGCCGTGGCCGTTTCCGCAGGGCATCACAGGTACCTGCAGCCACGACCTCCTGGGCTGGGCCTGCTGTCACTGCTCAGCCTGGCACCTCTGTCAGAGGTCACCATGGCACATCCCTCACTTCCCTGCCCTTCGTTCTCCTACAGGGCTTTCTGAAATTCTTTGGCATTCGCCATAGAAGGACCAGGATCACACCAACTGAGGTCCTGGCACAGCCTGACCCCACGCCCAGTGAGCTCGTGGCACACCCTGAAGTCGGCACCGTGTTGACCGACGGCACAGCAAACTGTGACAGCGCGGTGACTGACGACAGGACAAACTCCAACACGGCGCTGCCTGAGCTCACCACAGAGGCTGACAGTGCTCCCAGTTCAGCCTTTCTTGATGAGGGAGCTGTCCCTGCTCAAGTAAGCAGCCTGTGGGCAGGGATTGTGTGGCCCCTCAAGCTGGGTCTGCTGGGTCCCCTCAGCCTTTGAGGCCGGCACAGTGTGGTGGGAAGGGAAGCACTTCTCAGGGGAAAGTGGGCAAGTTGCTCCCTCTGGCAGCTCTTGAACTGCCCTATGTCCCCTCCAGGCCAGACTGTGGGACTTGATGACCTGGAGCGTTCTGAACACTCCTCTGTTGCAGGTGCCTTCAAGGCACTTCTGCAGGATTTGGTCACCCAGAGATTTCTATGCCATGTCTCCTACAGATAGCCATGGAGCAGAGACCCCCCAGGGTGCCCAAGCTGGCCTGGGTGAAGAACGAGGAGGAGGAAAGCCCTGGGCCTGCACCAGAACAACACCCTGAAGAGATGGAGCAGTCCCAGCCCCTGCAGGAGGGTGAGTGGCAGAGCTGGGCCACAGGGCTGGTGGCTGCAGTCAGATGGGCTTCTTCCCATCCCATCTCCTGTGTACATGTCCCAGGAAAGGGAGGGAGGAAGAGGGCCTGGGGTTGATCCCCCGGCAGCTCCATGCCCTGGGCATCCCGGGGCCGGCCCTGCCTGTGGAGCGCAGGGCTGGGCCGTGTTCTCCGGCCTGTCCCGCAGCCCCTCAGCTCTGACCGCGCTCGCTCTTTGCCAGATCCAGGACGGGACTGGACACAGGAACAGGACCGTGGCCGTGGCCGCAGGGCATCACAGGTACCTGCAGCCATCCCCCCCTGGGCTGGGCCTACTCTCCCTGCTCAGGCTGGCACTGCTGTCAGAGCTCACCATGACACATCCCTCTCTTCCCTGCCATTCGTTCTCCTGCAGAGGTTGCTGAACTGCAATCCTGTTCAGTGTAGAAAGGCCAGGACCTCACCAACCAAGGTCATGGCACAGCCTGAGCCCAACCTGAAAAAGCTCAAGGCCAAGGCTGACAGTCCAACAGCTGAGGGTATCACAGACACTGACAGGACACCCATTCAGAGCCTGCCTGATGCTTCCAGTTCAGCCTTTCTTGAGGAGGGAGTTGTCCCACAGTGTGATGGGAAGGGAAGCACTTCCCGGGGAAAGCTGGGGAATCGCTCCCTCTGGCAGCTCTCCAACTCTGCCCTGTGTCCCCTCCAGGTGCCAGCTCTGGTGAGGTCCATCCACTGGTGGCTGAGCTCCAATGTGTCTGCTGGGCACGTGCTGGAAAACACCATTCTAGCACTGACCCAGGCACACCCCACGGATGTCACCATCAGCCTCCTGCGCTGTGCCCCCTCCTGTGACAGGTACGGGCCCGAGCTGCCTTGAGGGCTCAGGGCTCACCAGCCTTTAGAGCCCATCACCCCCTGCCCCTGAAAGCACTGTGGCTCTGTCACCCGGCCCCTGCAGCTGCCCAGGTCAGGGCGCTGTGCTCGAGAGCCCCCTGACGCAGAGCTCTGACTCCACAGAGCTGCTGCAATCATGTGGAGGACCATCGCCTCGTCAGGAACCACCCTGGAGAAGGTGCTGCCAGCGCTGCTCTGTGCGATGGAGGACTGGCCATGGCACAGCCCCTGCACCTCTGATGGGGACAACACAGCTGTCTCTGCCCTGGCTGTGAGTTTCTGGAACCTTTGCTTGCCCCCAGGTTACCTCTCTGGCAGCTCTGCATCCTCCCCCAGCACGGCATCTCCCCGCCCATCTCCCTGCAGGCACTGGGCTGGAAATGTGGGTTAGCAGCAGGTTCAAGGGCACCAGGCCGGGTGCTGCCCCCAAGTCTCCCCTGGCCTCCCCCTGCCACGCTCGGGCCCTGCCACATGGATGTCTTGGCACTGAGCACTGTGTCCGGGTGGTTTGTCTTTTGCAGGCAACTCTGGCACTGTGGATGATTGTCCAGGAGCCCCAGTGCCCAGGGCCATTGATGGAGTATGCCCCTTATCTCCTCGTGGCTCTGCTCTTCCAAGTTTTCAGCACCACAGAGCAGATGTCAGAGGAGGTCGACACCTTCTGGAGGGGATGCCGGGAGCAACACAACCTTCCCACTGACCCCAACAGGTGCTCCATCCCAGTCCTCCCCTGCCTCCCATGCCCTCGGAGTGGGTCAGGTGTCAGGACTCCCAGCATGACCTGGGCTTTGCTCTGCACACAGGTTTGCAGTGCTGAGCATGAAGGCCCTGCTCTGCTGCCTGCACTGCGAGGATGTGGTGGTTTCAGTGGAACACAGTCGTGGCTGGGACACGCTCCTCAGAGCCGACACCCACCACTACGCAGTGGGTCTGCTAGCCAGGTGAGACCCCTTTGTCCCCGCTGCCCCTGTCCTTTCTGCCTGTGCACGGGGCACCCCCACAGTGCCCATGGTCGTGGGCCAGAGGGCCTTGTCACCGAGGGATGGCCGAGCAGAGTGGCAAAGGCTGGGAGAGGCAGGTGCACAGGAGGAACCGCCTCCCAGAGTGCCCTCGATCCCTCCCGGGCTGGTGGGGAAGGACCAGGACTCTGTGAGTCCGTCCTGGGAGGGGTTTGCCCACCTGGCTCGGGGTCAGTGGTGCCTTTTTCCCCCTGGCAGGGAGATGCGCCGTGTCTCCAGCCCCCTGTGTTCCCACATCACACTCCACCTGCTGGAGCTGCTGAACAGGGAGGAGCTGTGCTGGGACCTCGCTGCCATGGCATTCCTTGTGGAGGTGAGCCTGATGGCGAGCGCTGCCTCACCGAGCTGCCTCCACCTCTCTGCCCTCTTGGAGGGCCCAGCCCTGTGTGGCTCTGGGCTCCTGCTGGTGGGCACCCCGTCACTGCTCCATGCCTTTCAGGTCCTGGACTGCCTGGACATGCGTGACTGGGGAGGCACCGTTCTGCAGAGCCTTTCAAGGCACCTCCAGAGCCAGTGCCTAGAGAGGCGTCGCCTGGCGCTCCGAGGGCTCCTGGTGCTCAGCCAGGATTCTGGGATGGTGAGGAGGGGGAAGGGGCTTAAGCTGTGCAGGCAGTGTGGGGCTGGGGAACACAGTCTCTTGGGCTTGGCTGGGCTTCAGGAACTGTGGCAGCTGATCCCAGCTCTGCTGCCTCCCCGTTCAGCTGCCCGAGTCCCTCGGCACAGGCCTTTGGCCTCTGGGCCCCACGACAGCATGTGGGGCTGCCCCGACAGAGCGGGATTGGGGCTGCAGCCGTTCATGGCTTCACAGCACGGCGTTGTGTTCCTCACAGGCCAAGAGAATTTGGAGCCTGAATGAAAGCCTCGTGCGGCTCCTGGGGGATGCAGAGAGTGATATGGTTTGCATGACGCTCTCGGTGCTCGACAATGTGCTCTGGAGCAGTGTCTGGGCACAGCTGCAGAAGAGGGTCCACAGCGAAGACCCCCCAATATCCACCCCCACTGCCCTGCAGTTGGCTGAGGCACTCCGGCCACTCTTTGACCACGTAAGGCTCTGTGCCCCCCCCACGGGCTCTGGGTACTGCTGGGAAACTTTGTGCCCTGTGGATTTTCAGGTCTGTGCCCAGTGGGGCCTGGAGAAGCTGGTGCTGAGATCTTTTCCTCTTTCTTTCCACCAGGATGACAGCAGTGTGCGGGAGGGCTCCATGGTCATCTTCACGCGCGTGATGAAACTGATAGAGGACGCGGGAAAGAGTGCCCTGGAGCCACACGTGTGCCTGAGCCTGCTCCCGCTCTACTTCCACCGGCACGATGAGAACCCAGTCGTGAAAAAGGTGAGGACTGGTGGGCTCTGGTGTCCCATGGGAGGGGCTGGGCTGCCTCCTGGCCTGGCACCTCAAAGGCTCCAGTCTCCTGCTGACCTTGGTCCAGGGACACGGGTCCTGTGCCCTGGGCTGCCATGCCATGTCCTGGTCTCTGTTGCTCTGCAGGCCTCTCGGGAAGCTCTGCTGGCCGTGACCAGGTTCCTGAACAGGAGGGATCTTGGGCGCCTGGTCAACACCGAGGAGCCATGGAGTTTCGGCGAGTGCCTGGTAAGGACGGCCCCACAGCCCCAGTCCCCGATGGCCAGAGTGCGGGGCTGGCACTGTGCCCCTGCCCACCGCTGCAGCCGCCTGTGGGACAGCAGCCTGCGCCCCACCCGCCGCTGCCTTGCCTGGGGCGTGCGGGCAGGGGAGGCCAGTGCTGGGTGCAGGCAGCGCCCGGCCAAGGGGCAGAGCCCCAGCCAACCCTTCCCTCTGTGCCCTGCCTCTCTCTGCAGCTGAAAAAGGAGCGGAGTCGAGTGGCCGAATACCTGCGCCAGGCCCTGCTGTACATGCGGAGCCCACAGGAGCCCCTGCGAGAGGTGGCCGTCAGGTTCACAGGTGAGCCACAAGTTCCCTCCCCGCCCCACTGCAGCTCGGCCCCAGCTTGGCCTCGGATTGTGCTGTGGAGCCCCGAGTGCCCTGGCGGCTGCTGCCGCCCTGTGCCAGCCCAGCCCTGGGGCGTCCCGAGGCGGGAAGGCCCCGGGCTCAGCCCTGCCAGGGCAGGAGGGCGTGTGGCCGGGCCGGCAGCGCCGCCGGGGGGGAGCTGTGCCGCTGGGGCCCTGACAGCATCTGTGTTCCCAGGGATGGCCGGGAGGTACCTGCGGGGACAGAAGGAAGAGTTGCAGAACATCATCGACAGTGAGTGAGGGCAGTGGGGGCTGGTGAGGGGAGCACAGAGCCTGGGCAGGGAGCTGCAATCCTGCCCTGGCTGCGCAGGGCTCTGCTCCCTGCATGGACGAGGGGCAGCGTGGTCAGAGCAGGGAGAGATTTCAGGGGCACAGGGGGGTTTTGGTGGCCAGCACCTTCTGGCTGATCCCGCTGGGCCTTGCTCCCTCCTGGCAACAGCAAGAGCTGGGTGGGATGGCCCTGGCAGGAGGAGCTCCTCGGGTCCCCACCGCCCTGGGCTCTGACCTTGTCTCTGTTCCTCTCTGTTCCAGCCCTTCAAGCCATGACAGATGACAGCAGCCCCACTGTCTCCAACCTGGCGCTTGAAAACATCAACTTCCTTAGAGCTGTACAGAGAGCTCCCTACCTCCAGCAGCTCCTAGACAAGTTCTGCAGGGCATGGAATACCCGGCCTTAAGTGTGGGGCTGGGTGTGCCCGTGATGCTGGAGCTGTGTGGAGAGCTGATGCAGGCAGCTCTGTCTGTTGGGGCCACCTGAGCCTGTGGGGAAGACGCCTCTTCTCTGCAAGCCCTTCCTTTTACATTAGCATAGGAATATTAAATAAATATTTTCATACACAGAGGCTCAGGAGCTTTTTTGGGGTGCCCGGTGTCCACAGGGCATCTGGGAAGAGGGAAAAAAGGGCCCTTGTGCTCAGCAACACATGCCCAGGTGTGCAGTGCAGAAGGCCAGTCAGACTCCCAAAACTGAGGACGAAGATTCTTCCCAGACAAAAGGTGCCAGGACAGAAAGCTCTTGCTGCCCATGGAGTGCCCAGGCTGACCCACCAACTGCACCTGAAACCCAAAGGTTGCAGGCTTTCTTTCCTGGGGGAAAGGGCTTTTATTCGCTTTTTTTCAGTCCTGCGCAGAAATTGCCCGTCCGACTCCGTGGTGGTTTCGAGCTTGGCTCCCTGCTAAGTCCCCAACACCACAGCAAAAGCTTCCCCCCCAAAAAACCAAGGGAAAAGGAAAAAAAAAAAACAACAAGAAACCGAAATAAGAGAACTAAAGCAATATATATTTTGCCCCTCCTTCTGCACTGACCTTGGGGTCTGCATTGCTGTTCCTGTGTTCTCACTCCACTCTTCCCTGGCTGGAATTCTCTCTGTGCCACAACTTTCTATTCCTAAATATGTTATCCCAGAGGTGTTACTGTCACTCCCGATGGGCTCACCCTTGGCTAGCGGCAGGAAGCCCCTCCTGGAGCCGGCTGGCATTGGCTCCATGGGACGGGGGAAGCTTCTGGCAGCTTCTCACAGAAGCCTGTAGCCCCTTGCTACCAAACCCCAGCCACAGAACCCACCACACCCCTGATCTGGTACCTTTGAGGTTTCATCTCATTCATCCCTTTCACCTTTTCTTCTTTCCCAGTAGGGCCACAAGCTAAAAGCAAAAAATTCCCTTCCAACCCAAAGCATTCCATGATTCTCAAAGCCAGAATTGCCCCTTCGTAGCAGCGTTAAAAGCCCTCTGATGGGGTTTTGTTGCTCTGTTGCTGTGCTGGGCACAAATCAAACATCTCTCTGTCCCTCAGATTTTATCTGCTGTGTCTCTCAAGCACAGCAGGAGGACATTTCTGACATATCCCCACTCCATGACCCAGTTTTGAGTGGAGAAAGAGGAAATTTGGGTCACTTGTTAAAAGCATCACTGGTAGGAGGTGCTGGAGGAAGGACCAGCACAACACTCAGGGTTGTTTTTTCATAGAATCGTGGAATTGTTTGCATTGGAAGGGACCTTAAAGCTCATCCCATGTGCAGGGACACCTCCCACTGTCCCAGGTTGCTCCAAGCCCCGTCCTTGGACACTTCCAGGGATGGGGAGGCCACGACCTCAGGGAGCCACAAGCCTGGGAGCTGATATTTGGTAACTGAGCCATTTTAAACAACTCTGGAGCCACTTCCACTTAACAAGAGAGGCAAAATAAGCAGAGAAAAATGATCTTTTCCAAATCCCTTGAAGCAGAACCCCCTTCCCCGGGAGCAGGGGGAGGTGGTCGAACGTGTGGAGTGGGGAGTTAATTGTCACTCCTTAATTAGCTCTGCCACCGCCAGTGGGAGCCGGGCCAGGAGCCGGGGAAAACAACCGGGCGAGTGTTTTATGTTCACACCCCACCTCGGAGCGCAGAGCCCGCCGTAAAACAGGCAGGAATGCCGCTGCCTGGAAACCCGCTCGGCATTCCTGCGTCCCTCCTTCCCAAAGACACCTTTCTCCGGGCAATTGTTCCAAACCCGCGGCGTGTCCAGGGAAATCATGGCTTTTAGGGTCTTTTTTTAGCACTGGGGTTTGAGGGGGGGGGGGGAGGTAGTTCTTGCTTTGTTTAGTTCCCTTAAATCCCCCCTTCCCTGGAACTGCCCAGGGGCTTCTTTCCCCCCTTTTTTGCTTCTCTGAAGGCTCAATTCAATAAATACACATCCGGTTCCTTGGGAGCTTAATGAAATTGCGGGAGGCACTTCCAAGAGCAGGATGTTTATTTTTCTCTGCTGCTGCAGGTCCTGCGTGCCCGGAGAGCTCCATAAAGAGCCCCTTGTGCCTGAGCAAGAACGCTGGGGCAGCCGGGAAGTGCTGCACTCACTCAACACCGGCCTCCTCTTACTGCACAGCCGGCTGCCTTTCCAGGGAATTTAGGAAAACGAGCCCCAGTGCTAAGGTGGGAAAGTCAAGCACTTGCAAGGCAGATACAGCTTGGAGAGCTGGGTTAATCCACCTGTTTATGGGAGCATATTATGGAGCAGGCTCCTATTTTTCCCTAGTCCTCGCTGCTCAGGTCATGGAGGTTTCTGCCTTCTGACAGAACCCCCCGCCTTTGCAACGTGCTCTCTCCAGAAATGTCCAACACCAGGGAGCCCCCAGTGCCTGCTCCTGGCTGGATGCAGCAGGTGGGGCATTCCCAAAGGAATGTCCTCTGAAGGAATGTGGAGGTGCAGGTGCTGTTGGGGTGGGGGGGGGAGCTGAAGAGCCTTTCAGCCCTGCTGAGCCTTTGGGCACCAGCTCTGCTTTCTGGCCTCATTTCTCATTGCTGGTGACACCAAACTGGGCCTCAGTGAGACAGCAGTCCCAAGTCCCTGGGAGCTGCACCCCTGGGCATGGGGCTGGACTGCCTGGAATGTCTTGGTGGGTGGGAATGGATGATCCTTGAAGGTCCCTCCCAGCCTAAATCATTCCATGATTCCTATGAAATCTTCACTGCTTGGTGGGTGGGAATGGATGATCCTTGAAGGTCCCTTCCAACCCAAACCATTCCATGATTCCTGCGAAATCTTCACTGTTTCCTCTCTCTGTGTTTCAGGAGACAAACACTGGTTTGGGACCCTGAGGTGCAGCGAGGATGGATGGATGGATGGATTCAGAAAATTTGGAAAGATGCAGTAAATTTGGATGCATTCCAACGCCAGGGGTTCATGGTGAATCCTGCTGCCTTTGGGCCTGGCACTGAACATTCCCAGAATAAACCACGTTCCTTGCCTGAGAGACCTCCAGCCACCAGGCAGGGGATGTGTCACGGCAGCAATAAAGTCTTAGGAAATCAGGTCTCTCCTGGCCTGTAATTCCCATTCTGGAAGGGATTTTCCAAAGCATCAGATTAAAACCAACTGATCTGTTTAGTTCTTTCATTTTGGCCTTCCCAGTCGCAATTCCAAAGCTTCAACTGGAAGCCCTCAGTGTGTTTTGGGATGAGAGCTGAGTGCCTTTTCCAGCACCTCTGGCTCTGCTTTCCAGGACATGGGGGTAGGAAATCTCCTTCTTCCCACTGAGGAGGGGGAATGGGGTCTCAGAGAGCGTTGGAGTTGCCTTGGATTTGACATTTTTTTCCCAGGAACTTCCATGTTCAAGGTGCTCAGCTACGGGGAAGGATGAAGTGGGATGAAGTGGCCTCATGGGAAGAGCGAGGGACATGGAATCACAGAGTATCCTGAGTTGGAAGGGACCCACAAGGATCATCCAGCTGCTGTGTATGTTGGAAATGGGCTTTTCTCCTCCCCAGCTCTTTCTTTTTTCCCCCTCTTGCTTTTCCTCGAGTTTTCTTCTGACAATCCCACACAGGTGCTGAAAGAAGTTCTCCAAAGGGCAAAAACAAAGGGGGCGGGGGGGAAACCCTTTCCAGTTTTGTTTTCCCATCCAAACATGAATATTTTCTGAGGAGGGGAACAAAAAATAACTAAAAATCCAAATAAACCCCTTTTGTCTGCAAATCCCCTGGTGGGAGTGGGGAGGTTGGACTGAGACATTCCTGGGTGACTCATTCCTGGGCGGTTTTTTGCCCTGGATGGAAAGTTGTTCTCAGCAGATTGGAAAGTTGTTCTCAGCAGATTGGATGTTCTTTTCTAATCTGCCTGCAGGGAGGTGTTTGGTTTGTTGACTGAGGTAAAGGAGGTGCCTGTTTCTCCTTTGGTATTCCCACGTCTGCCATCAGAGGAAGGCTCCAGGTGGCTGTTTCTCTGGGAAAGCGGTGATAAAAACTCCATGGGTGTTTTCCTGCCCTGCCTCAAGCCGGAGATGGTGCCTCAAACTGTCGGTTGGCGATGCCCCAGGGGAGAAAATCCCTTCAACCACACGTGATCCATGAGCTGGGGACCCGTGGCCAAGGTCCAGGCTGGATCCTCTCCCGTGATGGAGACATGGAGAGACTGGAGTGTTGGATTTGGGTTCTTTGTGCTCCAGGGCAGAACAGAGGGGAGGAGGAAGGATTTCTAAAGCAGGAGCCTTTCGTGGCCTCCACAGAAATAAATGATGGGAAAAGAATGGGAAAGAAACATGGAACCCTGCTCTCTCTCAGGTGATCCCA